CGGTCTGGAGCATGGCGAATGCGATGGTCATCTCGACCTCTCTCTCCCAGAGCAGGAGATTCTCTTCATCCTTCCCCTTAAAGACCTTAACGCTCACCATGAGCGGCTCAGGGCGGGGGAAGTCATAGAAGCAAATGATGCAGACAACTTCTGCTGCAGGTGCTCTAGCAGCGAGTTTTCGTAGTTTGAAAACGCTTTTAGGCGCGCACCGATTGCCTCGGGGCCTTGCGCCGCAAGGTGTTGCACGCCCTCAGGGCACAGCAAGGACCCCAGCCTGTTATGCCCGTCCTGCATGCCCTGGTGCAAAGAGGAAAATTGATCCATCCTCACTCCTCACAGAGGATCAGTCTAAACGACTCAGGCGTAGATTGACTACAAGTGCTACCAAATGCAGCGGGGCTGCCGTTTCTTAGCGCTTGAGGAAGCGTAATCTAGGTCACCGACCGTTCGTTCTATACTCAGAACATGTACGAGTTTAGCAGATCGCAATCCGCTCACTCCAAGAGTAACTATTGCCTTCCCAAGGCTAATTAACTTTTCGACTTAAAATCCAAAACTGATTCTTAATTATTTTTATCCTAATTTTAGAAGTTTAGCTTTTTCTAAATATACTAAATATATACAGTAAAATCTTTAACTACTGGCATTCTTATTTGGGTTTGGTCACACCATGCACTTCTCGTGTGACACACACCCCTGTTATCATGGTACGTGTAACCCCGTTACACACGGCTTGCAGCGACAACCTGCGCCAGCCTCTTCTGTACGACTCTGGTTGAGGTGGCGAAAAATGGGGACTTGGCAGTGCCTAAATAGCTTTGTGAGCGGGTATGTAAGTGGTCGACTACTGCGGTGATACTAGTAGATTTGAGTAGAATTTTTCCGTAAATTTTAAAGCTAGCTGTTCCTGCAGTATTGTCTATCGAAATAACGACATATAGTCGAGCTAAACAAGTTTATGCGTAAATATTTCAGTACCTTCAACACAAGAAGGAAAAATGAGTTTCAAAGGCTACAAAATTGATTGGGTTACGCTACTTTAACTTAAGTGCCGAGAGTAGTCACTTAGGGGTATAAAGTGGTTACATGTGTATTGACGCGGAGGATGCACTGATAAAGGATACTTAGTTGTTGTCGTAAGAAAGGATGCATGGCTGCAGCCATGAACAATGCTGCTGCTCGATAAGCCTTGAGTGACGCCTTTTCTGATGCTGTAATTGATCATTAAGCAAGTGGCGGCATATTTGACGCTGTCTTGCTCCTTCATTACGGATGTAACATTATTGCTCTATCAATGTTTGTTAAAGCTGCAGCAGTCGACGAGTTGTACATTTTTGTTGGTAAATATCAGATCAGTTCTGAGCTTACCGACTTGGTAGATTTACCATTCTTCAATCGCTAAAAGTAGAAGCAGCAAAGTTTTTGGGCGGTTATTCTTCTTCAGCAAGTGTCAAGACTTTTGTATATTATCAAATCTTCCCCATATCCTGAAATGCAAACAAACATTATCCGAGTTACTGTAGCTGATTTCCTCGTTTTGACTAGACTACTTCGTGAAATGTTGATGCTATACCAGCTGACTACACTATCTCCACTGTGATCCAATGCTTACGCATAAAGCATTTAATACGAAAGAATTAAGTGCGCTGCAATTGTTATTTTAGTAGCGCCTTGCTGAAGCGAGAATGTACCGTGCTCGATTAACATCAAGTCTTCAACAAATGCAACTGGTGCTGCTTCAAATGGTGGTTATAACAAATCAGGCAACCAAACTCATCTTGAGTTATATCTTTCATAAATAAATACCACTTGCAACAGCGGGATACAGTCCAGGGGCTTGAAGATGTACTGTCCGAGAGCTTGATTTACTGCTGCCAGAAAGCATTCCACGCTTCTGCACTGTTTAAATCTAAACGCTACTGGGTGCTACGATGTTAAATATCGCACTTGAAGATAATCATTGTAACAAAGCTTAGCCTTGAAAGAAAAGCCATTCAAAGTGACGAAAGTTGCCGTAAAGCACTGAATGTCATTCAGATCTGTTCCGCTTCACTGTTAAGTGTATAAATTAATCATTCGATGATTGATAGTGATGGCAGAATCAGATGTTTGATTTTTCAGCATTCGGTCGATTGGTAAGCCAAAGATTCACACGATATAATTATTGCTTGGAATGGGCATGTCGTGATCATGGTCGAAGGCTTCTCGTGAATTGCAGGTGCCGTATGTCATCATGAAAACTTCTAATAATCCATGAATTAAGTAAGGATTGCAGCACTGCGGCAACGAACGGAGCTGCCAGTAGAGGCCACATGCATGGTGTTGAGTATATCGACGCGAGGAATGTGTATACGTTTTTACGAAGATTCGTATCACCAATCAATTATGCAATGACTTTAGATGAGCAGAATGGAGAGATCTATGCGGTGATTAGTCGGGAGTTTTTACGATACGAAAACGCTGGTACAGTATACACAATTATTATAGCAATATTTTGCTTCCTAATTATTACTTACTGAATGTTATAACAATCAATCAGACCTACTGATTCATTTCTGATTCTTCCATGCATTGGTCAAAAATGGATGAGCACGTCACCACCATTAAAGTCGACTATCAACCATAACATATACTTCCGAATCATTCCCGAAAGACTCCCTCAAGCAGAACAATGCCGGTTTGTCTGCTCTCCCATTTAATTTGAAACACTTCTGCGTATCAGTCTAATAACCCGCTTCTGTACTGCTTGCGTCTCGGACGATGCAAACAGATCCGTCAGTTCCAAGTCGTTGGCCGCAAAGCCCCCACTGAGAAGGAGCCAAATCCGCCAGCGTATCGCATGAAGCTTTTTGCACCGAACCCGGTACTGGCTCAGTCTCGCTTCTGGTACTTTCTGCACCAGATGAAAAAGATGAAAAAGACCACGGGCGAGATTTTGGACATTAACGAGGTTCGTCTGCGCGCTTCATCGAATTTCAAATCCTCTCAGTCAGTAAAAATTATATACTACTGAGAGGTTGATCGAGGTCGTAGAATATGTCTTCTTCTCCTCGTCCTATGTATGGCACATTCATGATTGGTGTGTTGTACTGTCCTCCTGACGACCTTTTCATAAGCGCTTGCCTGCCATGAGAGTGAAGATCTGTCGGTTTCCCTCATGCCACTCTTCACTCCAGCTTGCAAACCGCTTTGTCGTCGAGTGAGATCGCGGTGTGATCCGTTGTTTAGCTCTGACCGGACTCAAAATGAGGGGTATCTCTCGTAAGCTCAGTTTCTAAACAACCGATAGCACAGGACGAGGACTTGTAGGCATTTTTTGGATTATTGTCTGACCATTGTATCATAATGTATTGCCTGCAGATAACTGAAAAGAATCGTCGTGTGGTGAACAATTATGGTATCTGGATCCGCTACAACTCGCGTAGCGGTACCCACAATATGTACAAGGAATATCGCGATGTGACGTTGTGCAAAGCTGTCGAGCAAATGTACTCGGAGCTTGCAGGCCGCCACCGTGCCCGCCCTCGCTCAATTCAGATCATGCGCACTGCCATTGTTGCGGCCAAGGACACAAAGAAACTTAATGTGCAACAGTTTCACGATTCAAAAATTTCGTTTCCACTGTCCCACCGTCTGCCACGTGCCGCTCATAAGCACCACAATACGGTGTTTAAGGCCTCACGTCCGTGCACGTTCCGTGGCTAAGCAGGTGCAGGTGTGCTTGGGAAATTTTTGCACGTATAGGTTTATTAAGTAAACTGGGAAGTTTTTCGACTTTTTGCTATTGACTTATTGTTGAAGATGTGCTGATTTGCTAAGTGCTCAAGTTGTAGCTGCCGGATCCTTATAGCTGACTCGGTCTTATTGTTGTTCATGTCTTCCACGGATGCAAAATTCATTTTCTTAAGCGTTTATCTACTGGCTTAAATGCTGCTGTAAAATTTTGTAGTGGTGTCTTGTGTCCTTTGTTGCTTCGACGTGGGCAATTGCATCGCGACATGTCAAATTGCGAATACTAGACTGTGTTTGGCTCTGCGAAAGTAAAAACGTTAAAGTGACGGAAAAAATTAAAATGCAAATGTGCACAATCGAATGTAATACAAAGCCATGGTAGATTGATATATGATTGGGCTGAGTATGGTTATCGAAGCTTAAAGGCGTATCGGCCACTTGAGCCCAAGTTGTTGTGGCATGTAGTGCAAATTAATTTTACTATGGTTGACCAAATTAAGAAAAGGTCGTTCGTTGGCTGTGCGCTGGAATCGAAGACTCTTTTTTTGTATTTGCCATTGTTATAGTTGCAAGTGTTTCAATCGCTGGTACACACAAGGAACAAGTGCCATCTTAGTCAGAAGCGTTTAGCTCTGCGATACGAGACATAGACGCCAGAGGACCATTATCGACTCTGATACGCGAGGGAATGTGCAACTAATTCTTAATGCTTGTACAGGTCGCGGAAGGCGAAAACTCGCACAACCAAACCCTTGGTCACGCGAGAAAATCAAAGTACACGTAGTTGCTGTTGTCACCATAGTATTCGCAAATTTGTTGCCCGCTGATTGTGTGGCGATCAGCTCCGAAAATCATGCTATCAGGTTGTTCATGATAGTCAAGAAGAAATGTTTTTATTTCTTGTGGGCGAAATTTATCATCACGGTTTTTCATTTAAAATGATATCATAAAGGTCCTCCCTCACTACAATATAAACTCAAGAATTTGCTAGTAAACGTGCCCATCCATAGTGCAGTATTTCATTAGTTGGTTCGCCGAATCATTCATCGATGCAACTAAATACCTCGTGAGCTTTGTGTTCGAGCCCAACTCCCGGCTATTGTGTCGCAGCAGTTTACAATAAGAAATTAGCTTTTATTGTTGCAAAATGTTGATTATACATGATAGCAGCTCGTCACTTTTCTTCACAGATCACAGCGCACATAACACTTCCATGGTAGTAGAAAACGATTCAATGTCAAAGGCGAAAACACAAAATCTGTCCCCTTAACTGATTCATGGTGTTGCCAGTTCCTTCAATTCAGCACAAAAAAGATGGTAGGTAGTGGTGTTTTATTGCTAAGCCAAGGTTTTTGACATACTTATTTTACGAAATTTGACTTTGTGGCATTGTCGATAAGTCGTGACGTTTTTGAAACGAAGCTAGGTAGCTGGACACGAGAAAGTACTGTAGTCTCACAGGAGTAATTTTCGTACATCACTCAAAATGTAAGACAGAAATGCTGCACTTATGTGTTGCGTCTTTTAGCCCTCGTGGACAATTTGGAGCCTTGAACGCATTTTGCCACAGCTCCCGTGGGAATGATGCCTTTATAGCAGGAAGTCACAACCTTAATAATGGATTCGGCAGATGGGATATAAAGTCGAAGTAAACGTTTTTCCCTTTAAAATACTTGATTTGTCATTTCGCCTCAAACTTGGGTATTTACACCCGATAGAGAGGCATATTCACGCAAGTGATATAATATAATATAAAGACCGAATATGTAGGTGCAGGGTCGTGCAATCATTGTAAGCAATGATTGTGCCGAATAACCTTACATTTAAGCACAAAGTGTTAGAGTAGAATGCCACCTTAATCATGGAGACTAAATCGACTTCTCCGCTATGAAATAGTACGATAAATATGAATCTTTTTTGCATATAATTTAGTTTTCTGATCGCTCTTCAAGCAGCCCAATAGGCTGAACTCAAAGTTTGCTTGTGTATTCCCCTCAAAACAAAAGTATCGGTAGTAGATAGCACTAGTCCGTCTGCGTCGTGGTTATTAAGTCTGACTCAATAGCAATCTTTTGTTCTGAAAATCCAGGCAGGAGTCTACAACGATGCTCTAATACGCAAAGACGAGCCTGAGCATCTTTGTAATTTGGATTGAATGCCACCAGCTTCCGGATATCTTCAAGCGCCATGTGAAAGTCGCGCTGCTGCTCGTACGCATCTGCTCGTCGAAGCCGGGCAAACACGTTTCCAGGACGACGATCTAACACATACGTGCAGTCAGCAATCACAGCAGCAAATTCGCCTCGCGTCTGGTTAGCTCGCGACCTGTACAAATAACAGTGCATCACGACCTCGTCGTCATCGGACTGGGACGCGTTGATCGCCTTTGTGTAAAACTTGATAGCGTCTTCATACGAACGAAGCTGAAACGCTCGATAGCCTTTCAGCTTAAACCACTCGGCTAATGGCAGTTGTGCTGCCTTTGCTTCTTCAGATTCAAGCTGGCTGATAAAACGAGTAATGCCAGCGTGTCGAGAGTCCACTTCCTGCCCTCGATACAATGTGTTTAGCGCCTGGTCGTGTTGACCAGAAGCGTGTAACACCAACGCTAGACGATAGTATCCCTCTACCTGACGGTAGTTGATCCGGATGCACTTGGATGCATCTTCGATAGCCTTGGAATGATCTCCACAGGCAGCGTAAGCAATGCTTCGATGAAGGTAGATCCAGTCGTTCTTTGGGCTGAGTTCAAGTGCTTTGGTGTAGCATTCGATCGCAAATCTAAAATCCTTCTTACGAAGTGCATCATCGCCATCCTTTTGCTTTAATTTCGCGAACTCGACAGCCGTCATTTGGCGTAGCACAGTCGTAGCATTTTTTCCTTTTAATCTTTTTTTTAAAAGGTTTTCCGTTTCATTGATAATGCCACGAATCTTCGTAAACTTTGGATCGACCTGTAATCCCTTTCGCAGCGACGCAATTGCTTCCTTGTACTTGCCCAACGCCTTGAGCGCTAGTCCATGCTGCAAGTATCCCGTGACATCGTACGGATTATATCGCACGCAGCGGAAAGCGTCATCAGCTGCTTTTTCGAACATCATTGCTTCCATGTACGCCGAGCTGTATTCACATTAAGACAATACCAACTCCCACTCAGACTTCAAACTTTCAGCCGAAGCAATTCAACACATACCTTCGGTCTGCGTAGTATCCGGCACGCTTGCGATCCAGTGAAATCGCTTCCGTAAACTCGTCAATTGCACGATGAAACTCACCATTCTCCAGACACTTAATGCCTTCATTCCGCTTAAATTTGGCCATTGTACCCTTCACTTCCTGTACTAAACGTCGATTTATCACGGTGCTATTTTCCATCACATCAACACCGCAGCATGTCCACAACTGTCTTTTCGCTTCGTCATTCTCAATGAGGATCTCAAGCAGAAACGAGGCAGCAAATTCTACCTGTTGGGGAGACAATCGATGCTTTATCACAGCAAGAAGAATCTTAACAAGCTTTGATTGGATAAGTATAATTACAAAGTCGACTCCAAAGCCAGCAATAAGCTTTAAAAGCTCCAGAGCGCACATTGTGCATCTTTCGTCGTAATTTCTCCATACCAGCTCCATTAATGTCAGAAGACCCTCGCGCTCTACAAATATCGACGCAGTCGAGAGCTCTAGAGCATCTTTTAAGGCCACCAACGTGTCAACAAAGCTAGTTTCATCTGGCTTCTCTGTCCGAAGACGCTCAAGAAGCAGCATGGTTGAGTAATGTGGTGCCGTTGGGTCGATATCTCCGTCATAGATTAAAGCGGTCTTAAATTCGGCAGGAACAATCGATAACGCGTTTTCATCGATAGCAATTTCACTGTGTAACTCACAGTCGGAATCTCTCTCGTCACTGCTTAAGAGATTATGGATAATTTCAATGACATTGCCTGTTTCAAGGCTAACGGCGTCGTTGTCCAATTCTTGCTCTGGCTGTTCGTCGAGAGAGCGGTTGCTGCTAACTTTGACCGTAGAAAGTTCTGATTTATCATCTCCGCGTAATTTCTGACTTAATCTGTCATCTCTGCTGTAAATCACATCGCCTTGATCAAGTGCACAATGCAAAGAACTAACGATATCGTAAGATGGATGTTTCGTCGCCTTCAATTTTTCTCGTGATAAATCCCAAATGTTGCTTAATTTCTCACCACCCACAATTGAGTTTTTTTGTTCGCAGATCATATCTGGGTGACAGTCTCTCGAGGCTGACACAATTTTCTCTACCCGTCGACTCGTCTGTTCTATCATTCTTACATCACTTGATGCTGGAAGATCAAGACCAACCACTTCCTCGACAAATGAATCTCGAGCGGAAGATAAACTATCAAAATGCTTGGCGGTAGTCAATGCCGTTGAAGTCGCCAAAAGCTTTTCACTATTACATGCCAAAATGGACAATTCGGCCAGAGTTTCTTGTACCATTGAAACGACCTTGAAAGTGTTACCTCCGCGTGAGTCGCTGGATCTTTTATCATTCATACCAGGTCGCGTTAGCTCTTGAGACACAATATGAAGAAAACTTGACATTTGATCAAGCTTCTGAGATGTCTGTTCTTCAAGTTCTTCCAAGTCAACATCACTTTCGTTGCAAGACTCGACCAATGTACCCTTAAGCTCTTGTGATACTTCATCAAGCAATGTGCTTGCATGCTTTATACTAACAGCGTCATCGATGTTTGGACCAATTTTATCACTATCACACGATTGAGTTACGTCACCTAAGAGTTGAAGTTCTCGATTTACTTTAATCAATGCATCGGCTACTTGATTCAACCTGGGAACTGGGAGACCCTGTAAATCGTTTAAGCTACTCTCGTGCGATCGGGCCACGGCTCGATTTCCATAGCCAAGTCGTTTCAACTCTTGAGAAGCCTCACTTAGCGTAATTCGATGCTTTGGATCAGCTGCACACATATTTTCAATGAGCGTCCACGCACGAGTGGATATATGTGTTGGTCGAGGCGGTAGAAGATTGAGGTTCCCCTTCAGAGTGCGAATCTTCGCTATATCTAAGCCTGCCCATGGAACAGTGCGAGTCAGCGCTTCCAGAATGCACATGCCGAAAGCATACACATCGGTGGCAAACGAAGTGGCAGAGGCACTTGCATCGTTCAAAGCTACTGGCAAGTCAGCCTTCGATAGCGATTGCTGAGACTTACGATACGCCACATGCTCTCGTAAGCATTCTGGTGCTTGCCATCGAATCAATTCCTCAGCTTCCGCATCAAATACATCAAGTTGAAAATATTCCGTCAATTCCGAATCGCGCGCGTCGCAGGCCAGCGTGTACAATCCAAAGTCAGCAATAACAGCCCGACCTTTTTTGTCAACAAGAATATTGTTGCAACGTAATCCACCATGTACAATATTGTGTTCTTCGTGTAAATGTAGAAGCCCACGACTGGCACCATAAAGAAGTTGCCACGTTAACGTCTCCAGCTTCTCAGAATACTCTAATTTAGTACATTGCTTCGCTCTTGTTTCCAGTGCTTCAAGATATGAGGTCAATCCACCATAAGTTGTAAAGTCTCGTACCAGATATGGCGGAGTCGCAGCATGTGAAGCTCCTCGTACCGTCACCACATTTGGATGTCGAACTCGCGTCCACTTAGACACTCCACTACGTGAAAAAAGCTGCTCTACAATGTGATACTGGACATCAGGGAGTGCCCATAGACACTTGACAGCGACAGTATATGTGGCACTGCTAACTAAAGTTCCTTGACGATCATAATCATATCGATAGGCTTCTCCACGATGAAGTGTCGACCCAAAAGACCCATGCGAGCGGCCTATGATATGGTTCAAAAGAGAAAAAGATACCTCACACGACGGTAAGAACCATCTCGGCACTCGCCGAAGGTGAATGTCACACAAGTTAGAGATCCGTCGATGAGTCATTCGCAGTGTCTCTAGAAGCTGGGACGAATGACCTCTGGGTGGATCAGTGGCTGCGAATTCAGCAACAAGTTCCAACAGCACTAGCGCTTGACTACGATCATTATCAAATTCTTTATTGACAAAGGTTGGAGTCGACAATAGCCCCATTAAGGTATCGTGCAGCGACTTTTCGTCCTGCGCTCTGTCAGCTGCAAACTGTTGCTTCCACACAAGTAAGGGACTAGTGCCACCAGCCAAACCATTGCTTTCAAGTAGCAGATTCAGCTCACGATGTACTCGAGCTAATTCGGACAATAGTCGTCGACTAGCTGCCATTTTGGCCACGAGATTCGGGTGTTTTAAGTGTTGATCCAGCACTGCTCTAATTTGATAAAGTAGCACAAGAAAATGCGATAAATGAAAATCATCGCGTAGCGATTTGTGCTTGACGGCGCTTAAGATTGTTACAAAAGCTTGATGTAGTCTCGTGTGGACATGTAAACAGGCTTGAGGTCGGTCTTGAACTTGTTGGCAGAGACCATAAATCGTGTGCAGAAGAGCTAGTACCTTGTTTGCATTCGGGAGTGCCCGAATGACCGCTTGGTCCATGTAGTTGAGGGAAAATGGCAAAGTAGAAGCATCAAAGCGAGACGACGTGGCAGCATGAGCGTCGCGACCTTGCAGCAGCGACGTCATGGCCTCATTGTCCATCGCGGTGGTTTTTCAAAACGCCAAGACCTCAATCCTCGTTACGTTTTCTCTGCGTCTAGAGAGCGCTTTTGAAAACTGGTAACGACATGAGGCAGAGAAGACTGGAGATGAGCTCTACTCGTCATTTATTCGCGCGAGCAGGTCTCCAGACCGTACTCTCTGCCGGCGTGGAACGGATACAATACAAATTTGTATTTTTGTAAAAATTTGTACAAAAATAATATAATCCTGACTTTTGTGATAAAACTTTTAATTTTTCTTCTGTAAACATGTACA